AATCTGGAGACAGAGTCTGATGTGAGTTCTAATAGATTTGTTTTAAAAAGAGGAACAATGTTATGGGAAGAAATGTGATTTGAAAGGGGAAGACTCTGGGCTGTAAGGTTAATTTCCTCCTGCATTTAAAATACTACACGAATATCAATGATGTCTGAAAACACTTTATATGCTAAAAGTGCTTGTATAAACACACCTATAAATAATAACAAGGTGTTAATTTTTTGGAGACTGGAAGAAGTCATTTACAGTCCTGCAGAGTTTACATTGATTTTTTTTTTGTTCCTCCCCATTTAACTGGCATACTAGGAAGTTTCTTCACAAAGCCAGACTCTGTCTGCCATATATTCTCTTGATCCATTATTAAAATATTTGTCCTGGAAATATTTAATCCACTGTTGGTTTTACCTTTTAAGTTTACACAAGGAAAGTATGACCCTCTGACAAAGATCTATCAGATATTTGATAACAGTCCTGAGTCTTTGCTGTTCCCTAATAAAGACCTCTTGACTCTTAAAGTATGTTTCAAATGGCATGGTTTCATTCCCTATTTTCTATCTTATCACATGCCTATGAATGAATTCTGGCTGGTGTACTTTTCAACATCAATTGTGAAGGCCAGAATGAAGCACAGTACCTGGGTGAGGTCACAGATTCCATCTCCTACATTCTATTTACTCTTTGAAAAGCTTTATTATACCGTGGATGCAGGAAACTTACATGACTTTCTCACTTGTGCTGCTATGAACACACATCCCTCATTCTGTCCTTATGCAGCTGGCTTTTATAGACATATACAATTATTCAATTAGTCCTATTACATTGTATAACTTCAGCCTGCTATTCTATTGTGACGCTTAAAGTGCTGTTCTGTCTTCTTGTAATCCCGTTCCAGCTATATTTCCTGCTAATTCGATCAGAATGCCATCAAGTCCAAAGAGAACAAAGGAAAGTGGACATGTATTCACTCATCAGCCAACACACTTGTGGAGGGCCTAATACATGCTGGGAACTCTGCTAGGTCTGAAGGATACAATGGCAAGCAAAAACTGGCATTCTCTGCTGTCACAAAACTTACCCTGTCACGGAGAAAGAAAACCCATTAATCAAATAATCATTCTGATTATTGTATTACTACAAGTTGAGTATGGGTGCCAAAGGGTAAGAATGTGGTTCTGTGACAAAATATAATAACCTGCCCCAAGCTAGGGTTAGGAGAAAGTGCGAGTGACAGCGGCGTAGGGTATGTGAAGTGAGGACGGAAAGTGGGATAAACTAGATGGAGGGTACAGACAAGCACTGTGCTATTAGGGAAGTCTCTTCAGATCCCTAGTAGTTGCTTAATGCCACTACTGCTCAACTTCATTGTCTCAAAGGATTAATCTGAATGATGAACTCACTGTCCATGGTCAGTTCAAACTGACACCTGGAACATAAACCTAAACTCAGGACATAACCTCCTTACACATGTGGCTTCAAAGTCAACAATAACATTTCAAAACATCATCTCTAATTCCTCTTCACATTCAAGGTGGAATTTATCAACACCAGATGACTTAAGAATTAATGTAAACAGTTAAAATAGTATTTCTCAAAGCGTGAGCCAAGGACCAGCTGTATCAGAATCACCTGAGGTATGTATTAAAATGCAAGTTCCTGGGCACCTTCTCACAGCTAAAAATGGGGCTCAGGAACCTACCTTTAAATAGCTACAAGAGATTTTTCCTCATTAATGTTTATAACTCCTTGAATTAGCTGTGTTCTCAAAGGATCCATATTTGCAAGTTGCTCAAGTTCCCAGTATTTCGGCCCCAAACCTGAGGTGTATTACCCTTGGCAAAGCCTGACCGAGACAAAGCATGGCTATGGAGTCAGAGACTTGAATTCAAATCTTGTTCTACTACATGCTATCTGGGTGAGCCTGGGCAAGTTTTTCATGCCTCAAGTTTCTTCATTGATAATATATGGATAAGAAAATCTACTTCATAAGGATGTTATTGCAACTAATAAGGAGTCAGTATAATGATAAAAGCAGCTTATCATTCTTTGGAACATTTATCGAGGCCTACACACCATTTATAGCAAGATGAATACAGCATTACAGGCATTCTATTATAGGCTGTGTATGCCAGATGAAGGAAAAAGGAACATGGCACAGATATTTGTTTTTCTGCACCTGTCTTTTTGGGGTTAAGGTATAAGTTACTTTTTTTTTTTTTAAGTTTTTTCAAATCCTGTGTGGTTTTCTCTTAATAGACTCCCGGGAGATAATGTATATGCCTCCCCTGGGAACTGTCTGAAGCTTTCTTATCACTGCACTTAGGCCAAAATCTTTTCTCTAGCATGGCCTCAACCTGAGTCTTCTTTCCAGCCTCACTGGTCACCAATCCCTCCCATTAAGAGCAGGCACTCTACTGCTAGAGCATCTAGGGTCAAACACTGGTTCTGCTGCTTGATTTTACAAGCTTGTTGTTGGTGAAGTCACTTAAAACTCTGTGCCTCAGTTTCCTCATTTGTGAAACAGTTAATACTAGTGTCTATTTCATGGAGACTTTTACCTAAAACAAAATTAGAGACTTCTCAAGAACCCCATGTTAGTCATTCTCATGGTTTCAATGCATCCACCTCAGCAGCTGATTCCTGTCAGACTCCAAGTTCCCTTCTCACCTCAGGATTTTCACTATTCCCTTGACCTGAACTGAGCTCTCATGGTCAACTTCTCCCTTTTTAGGCTTAACTGTCATTCCTGTAAGAAATTTTCCGATTCACAAGCCACCCACCCCAATTCCTTAACAAAGTAGGTTAAAAACCCTACTAAACAAACACTCACTCACTGCATATTTTTCCTTTGCAGCACTTATCATAATTCAACATTTGTTTACACCACAAAAAAATAGGGTACCATGTCTTATACTACTCATATCCACCCTGATACTTAGCACAAGTCTGAGTCCATAGCAGCACTCAGAAAATATGTTAAGTATTTGATGAATGAATGATTTCTTAAATCTGACTACACCCTATCTTTCTGTCCAGATTTATCAATAACAACCTCACTTTCTTATGCTTAGGGGCAAAACTCTTCTGTGATAGTTTTATCTTCTGAGATAAAGTTTCCAGAAATGCAAAACAAGAATTAATTTTGGGCATTGGGCTAAATGAGACCCCCAGGAGGTATGTCTCAACTCTAAGCTACTTTAGATCTGCACTGTTCCACATGGTAACCACTACGAAACAGGGCTACTGGGCACTGTTGCCAGTCAAAAGTGACATGTGCTGTTAAGTGGAAAATACAGACTAGGTTTTAAAGTCTTGGTACAAAAAAGTTGAATAGCTCATAATTTTTATTACATGTTGAAACACCATTGGTTAAATATGGGGTTAACTACATTATTAAAGTGGCTACTGGAAGATTTATAGATATACCTTGTGTTAGATTTCTATTGGACTGTGTGCTAGTTCCAACAACTACTTAAAAAGCATGCTGGACTTTCCCTCCATTTCTCATTTTAATCCATAACGAAACATACTTCAAACACTTTTAAGTTTTTCCTCGGTAGTGCTATTTCTGAGGCATGAGCTATTCTAACTACCCCTGTGATCATTATGATTCTTTTACATAGGACATAGTTTTCTACAACCATAATCAATCTTCATCACACCAAATTCCAGTGAGCTGGAGATTTACCAACCTGCAGTTATTTTATTATTTATAATATAAACATATGGCTCAGAACAGACTTGAACAGATCAGAAGCCAGACCAGCTACTTTCTAGCTGTATAACTTTGTTATTCTTTTCTCAGTTTCTTCACCTTAAAAGTGGGGCTAAGAGTATCTAATCTATGGGGTTGAGAGCATTTATTAATATTGGTAAAGGTGCTAAGAATGGCTCCTGGCATGCAGTAAGCATTAAGTAATGACTTCCACCTGTGTGACATACAATTCAAATACCTTCTTACAGTGCTTCCTACCTACTATTCATAAATCCTCTTTTATCATTTGCCACCTAGTCATATGTCTTCTTGTGATATTGGGCAGCTCTCCCAGCGATATTCTTCTAAATCAGAGATTGTAATCTCACTTCTAACTCCAAAATTCCGCCAAACTTCAGTCCAGTAGCACTTGCAGCAAGATAGTCAACCTCTCACTTTTTTGTTCCTTTCTAGCTTCATCAGAGAATGGATAGTGTTACATCCATGCTCGAGTGTAACAAAATATAAAGTTGTTTGCATAGTCCTTAGTATCTACTAGGCACCTAAATGCACTTTCTGATCTAACATATACGATCCTCAAACCATCCTATGAAATAGGTATTTATAAAGGAGACAGACTCTGGGGAAGTCTGGACTTGCCCGAAGTATCGGATAGCTAAATTACAGCGCCAGTGGTGGAACCTACAGTCACTAGGTTTCACTCTGAATCAAATGTTTTGATTTGTTTCAAGAAACCAAAGCTACTCCCCAAATGTATGAGCACCAATACTAAACTCCTTTACGCTGTTTATGGCACTCCAAATGTTTAAGAAAAGCAGAAGCGGCAAAGTAAGCCTAATTGCCGGGTGCCCCAGTGAAACTGCAACAGAAAATCAACACAGATTTGGTTAATACCAAATACCGTTTGGCCAAACAAACCGAGAGAACTGGCGCCTGCGGCGCGGATGAAATTTCAGTAAACAAAACGAGTTTCTCCTTTTGCTCAGCCCCCCAGCCCCAAGCAATCAGCGGCGAGCGGTCCGGCAGCCCCCACACCTGGGGAGGCTACGGCCGTCCCGGGCCGCCAGGATCTGCCCCTCAGATGTCGGGGCCCAGCGGCGCGCCCGCCCGCCCCTCACCTCCGGCTCCGGGCGCTCCGAGGCCATCACACAGCCCTCCCGCGCCGGCCCGGGCCAGAGGAGACGCTCCACTCGTGACCCCTGACCCGGATACCTCACACCCGGCAGGAACCGGAAGTATGTGGGAGGGCCAAGTTCTGGGTTTCTGATTGGTGGACGAGGTCCTTTCCTCGTGACTTGCTGACTTGGAAACCGGAAGAGGAAGTCGTTGCCGCCGCAATGCAGGTGAGACCTGGCTTAGGGCTACTGACCGCTAGCGATTTTCGGGTAACGGGACTAACAAAGGCTGGCGCGGGAATGAGCGAGCAGTTGGGGTTTGGGGAAGCCGCAGAGTCCGAGGCTGAGTCCGAGGTTTAGGGGACGCGAGATGCGGGACGAGGCGGATTGGAGAGGGGACGGCGCGGTGGAGACATGGGAGTGGAGCCTGACTGACAGGAGGCAGAGATTACGGCTAAATCTGGAGGAAGGAGGCAGCACAGATTTTCGAGGATTTGGGAAAGGATCTGCTTGTAATTTGAGAAGGATAAGATGTCATCCACAGAAGAGGACTCAAGAAAGTGGTGGATTGGCCCGTGCCTCGGCCTAGGCTGTTGGATGAAACTCTTGGATAAAGATCAAATATTGACCTATAATTGGATAGACCTCAGAGGATTGAAAGAATTGCCTGGACGCGGTGGCCAAAATCTAAGCTAACTACTTTTCTGAGGCCAGCCGTGGATCAAGGCGCCTGTCGTGCTCATCGGAGTCTGCAAGACAGCTTTGTATCATTTTTATGAGCCTGTGTCAGAGCATTATGAAAAAACCTCGTGAAATAAAGCTGGAAACCATATATGGGGAAAAAATGTTTTTGCTGCCCCACCTCCCCCACCCCCAGCATAAGACAAATTCTAGGACAGAGAAAGCTGGAGTAGGCTTCAGCAGTGCACTAAAGATAATTAACTCCCAGACATATGTCTGGTCACGATTTCTCAATGACAGGATGTGCCAGGCATGGATTAGGAGGTGATGAGAGAAAGGAAGCAGTCGGTAGGAAGAATTGAGGTCGGGTGAATGGGTTGAAAGGTCTAAGGGTTGATGCTGTTTATAACCCAAATACCAAAGATAGTTAACTACCTGCCTGCCCTGTGCCAGGCAGAGCCTGTGTCCTTTGACTATTGACTAGTGTTGTGCACCATCTTCCTGGCTTTTCAGCCTTCTCTGTATGTGTCATATTCACACCCATTTGAGTAACCAACCTGTTGCTATTGGTGCAGAGAGAGGAGAAACAACTTGAGGCGTCATTAGATGCACTGCTGAATCAAGTGGGTGATCTGAAGAACTCATTGGGGAGTTTCATTTACAAGTTGGAAAACGAGTATGACCGGCTGACCTGGTGAGGATTGCCAGGGCAAACTGGGGAGGGAACCAAGGGTGGGGGGCTGAGCCTCAGGGTGGATAGGACATCTCCAGTGATGCAACTATTTATCACTTTGGCATTATCTTTTGATTTGGAAAGAACTGGGTTTCCCAACAGGTGAAGTTTGGCTTCGGGCCTCTATGGCAAAGACGAAGGGAAATGCCTCCTTTCCCAACTCAAATTACTTTTAGCTTTTGGTTTTCACTCTTGGACTTTTCTGGGAGGAGGTCCTCCAGTACAGTAGGAATGTGGTTTTCATACTGGGTCTCTTGTCACAGATGTTGCTACTCTGGAAGTGTAGTTTTAGTTCCAGACTAGAAAGGGCGCTTTCACCAGTTTCTGAATCTTTAGTGAAACCAGTTGCTAATTTTTAGTGATATAGTCGCATGGTTCCTATTTTGCCACTGATCTCATCCCCACTCACCTCCCCCTTTTTTCTACATCTACAGTGAAACTAAGCATGTGTCTCCTCTTTGCTAACTTCACAATCCTCATGAACTAGCCTGGTCCCCACCTAGTCCAGCCTGAGTTGTGAGTCTTGGAGGGAGGGGAACACTGGTCAGGTGGGTGGGAGTCTGGATATTTCTAGTCTGAAGAACCCCTTAGAAGCTACTTTACCAGGAACATTCTGACACTTTCTTGTTACCGCCAGGCCCTCTGTCCTGGACAGCTTTGCCTTGCTCTCTGGACAGCTGAACACACTGAACAAGGTCTTGAAGCATGAAAAGACACCACTGTTCCGTAATCAGGTTATTATCCCTCTGGTGTTGTCTCCAGACCGAGATGAAGATCTCATGGTAAGAAGAGAAGGGACAACTTGGAGAATTAAGTTTTTAGATGAGGATCTAGAGCACATTGTTGGCTGGCTATTCCAGGCATTCTGACTGTGAGGTGGTGTATAGTAATAAGAAATGAGAATTACACTTGTGTCCTGGAGCGGGGGAGCCACTCAGATATTCTGAATTAACCTGAAGCCTATCACCAAGGCCTTCTCTGATATCTGTCTCAAACAAGAAGTATGTTCTTTTTTGACTTTGTCTGTCCCAGCCTTTGACGGAAGTACGACAGACTTGTTTCTGGGTCTCACAGAGATAGGATTGTGAGGAGAGAGAAAAGAAGGGTAGAGTGTAGGAAATAATGGTGCTAGATAGTCTAATCTCAGGTTGTGTTTTCCTTGAAAATCTACTGTTTGCCTGTGGAAAGAACTGTATTCAGTCCAGATTGAATTTTCTTGGAGTGCATAGTAAGATCGATAAAAATCTGTGTTACAGAGGCAGACTGAAGGACGAGTCCCTGTTTTCAGCCACGAAGTGGTCCCTGACCATCTGAGAACCAAGCCTGACCCTGAGGTGGAAGAGCAAGAGAAGCAACTGACGACGGATGCTGCCCGCATTGGTGCTGATGTAGCTCAGGTTGGACTGTCACTGTCCTGCTGCTCCCCCATCTCCCAGGTCCCATCACGAGAAGCGACGCATTCCCATTCCTCTGTGGGATGATGAGCAGCTGATTCTACCTAAGTTTTTCCTGGGAGAGCAGGCTTCCTCATAATCATTTCTTGCTTGCTCTAATCTCTACACACAATTTATGTGTTACAGAAGCAGATTCAGAGCTTGAATAAGATGTGTTCAAATCTTCTGGAGAAAATCAGCAAAGAGGAGCGAGAATCAGAGAGTGGAGGTATGAAGGCCGGGTGACCAAAGGGAGAAGGAAAGAGGATATTATCTTGGAAACAGGAATGGCAGTTTCTGTAGTGGTGAAATGAGGATGTGGAATGAGCTGCTTTAGGAAAGGGTGTGCATCCATACTGTTAGCCTTTTGTAGTTAAGGTTGGGCCTGGCAGAGGTGTAAGAAATGGCGAGATGAGAAGGAGGAATTCTGTGGCGATCCCTTGGCTTTCCTTCTGGGTCACCAGGGACTCTAGATGCTGCTAAAGTCACAACCCCAAACCCTGGAACTCCCAGCAGCAAGAACTGGAGGCATATTTCATTGTCCTCACTTACCTCTTTCTTCAGGTCTCCGGCCAAACAAGCAGACCTTTAACCCTGCAGATACCAATGCATTGGTGGCAGCTGTTGCCTTTGGGAAGGGGCTTTCGAACTGGAGACCGTCAGGTAGCAGTGGTCCTGGCCAGCCGGGTCAGCCAGGAACTGGGACAATCCTTGGGGGAGCCTCAGGACTACAGCAGGTGCAGATGACAGGAACTCCAAGCCAGCAGCAGCCAATGCTCAGTGGCGTGCAGATGGCCCAGGCAGGTCAACCAGGTAAAGTGTGACACCATGAGCAGGCAGGGGGTGGAATAAGCTGGGTTCTCTGGGGCCCCAGCATCTCAAGAACTGGACTTTTTCCCTTTCTTTCCTTGGATGGTGACCCAAAACATTTTTAGTAGTAAAAAAAATCTTACTTTGGGATTCTGTAACAAGCTCCAGAGAATGAAAAAACTTTGCTTTCTTCATGACCCCATTTTAGACCTGTCTCAGCTACCCTTCTCTCCCATTTACTCTGGGTGCTAGGCGTGTTCCTTTCTTACGTAGAGAAACAGTGATAAGGCCTTACTTGAGATCATCTGGTACTGCATTGGGAATTGACAAGGAGGCAAGTTTCCCAGTGCTACTGGTATTCTTTTCTGTCTGTCTCACCTGCTCACTTTTGGCAAGTATGAATGCAGTCTGGAAGAGCACAAGCATAAGTGGCTAGAAGAGGTGTTTTCTTCCAAGCACCTAGGAAAAGGGACAATTAAAGTATGGGGATGTATTGCCGCTTTTGCCTGTGGCATGAAAATGGTGGTCACATCAGAGTTAGCTATCTTTTTCAGGAGTAGATGAGCAGGACCCTGCTGGTGTGTGTTCTGACCTCTCTTCCCCTCCCCCTCCCATACCTTTATGTCACCCCTTTCTTGTCACTTTTGTGGAGAGAGCTAGGCGAGGAACCATACCTCTGATCTGTGCCACCCAGGGGCAGAAGGGAGGTGGCAGAAGGGAACCTGAGAAGCCACATTTAGGATTTATCATGACAGTCATTGTGCTTTAGGTATCTTTCTTTATGTTCCTTTTAGGGAAAATGCCAAGTGGGATAAAAACCAACATCAAGTCGGCTTCAATGCATCCCTACCAGCGGTGAGTGTGGCCAGCTACTTCCACTCCCACATGTTCCTTGCAGCGTTGGGCAGTGAAATTGCCTTTGCCCAAGCCAACCTAGATGGGGCCTACCAAAAAAAAAAAAAACCTGGGCTCTCAGAGTCAGGCAAAACCCAGCCTCATCGCTGACTCGCTGTGTGATCTTGAGCAACTGACCTAATTTTTCTGAACCTGTTTTCTCATTTGTAAATGGTAATAATAATACCTACCTCATAGGGTTGTTGTGAGGATGAAAATGAGCAAATGAATCTGAAAGACTTAGCACAGTTATGTGAAATAATGGGTATTCAATAAAGGTTAGTTTCTACAGCCACACCTCGCCCACTGCCCTCCTTACTTACTCAGATCTGATACTGCTTCGGGTCAGTTGTGTGCTGATAGGCACGGTTATGGACCACTCAGCACTGTTCAAAAACTTGTGTTGCTTTGAACTGCTAGAAACAGCAGCTTCTGCATCCACTGAGCACAAAGTGGCCTTGTGCCCTCCCATCCAGGTTCCATCCTGGCTGTCTCTAATCTGCAGGTGACAAGGCTTCTGGACGGGGACAAACTGTCCACCTACAGCTTTGGTGAAGCTCAGGCCTGCTCTACTCTCCATCCGCTGAGAAGCTCTTACCCGCAAAATAGCCACAAAGTGCTTTTCCCCTTCCCTGCACACATGCAGGAAGATGTCGAGGGGCCAGAGATGGGGGCTTCCTACAAAGTGACTCTGCTCGGCAGGACTATATGAGAAGGGGGGTTGCTTTGCACATGCCAAGCTCCTCCTCCTCTCGACTTATTTTTTCTTAATTTGGAGGGAAGGGGGACTTGCACATCACACCATCTCTCATCAAGGGTTAGTTGTCCTCACACCAGGGCCTTGTTTCTGGCCTCAGCTAGGAGACTTTATTCAAGGCCACTGAGTGTGACGCAAGTAAGGGGTTGCTCGCAGTGCCTCTGCTGCTTTAATAAAGCTGAAGAGCTGAGTGAGTTTGGGTCTCCAACCTAAGTTGCCTTTCTTAGCACTCGTTTGTGGGCCAGGGCAGGGTGTGAGTTAGCAGAAGTGGACCAAAGGGTTACACTGATACAAGGTTTTTAAGTTGATGGCCACTGTATCGGGCTTATCTGCCAGCAATCTACAAGAACTATGTGGGGATGGGAGGCTATATGCCTGAGCCTTTCAAGGATGCTGCAAAACAATTCTAATTTGAGCTCCATGAAAAGTTTTCTTTGATTAGCTTTGATCTAAAAGTCCTAAGAGAAAAGAACCTGCTCATATCTTCCAGCTGCCTTTTTCTGTTTCCTTCTGTCACACACCAGTACTTCGGCATTGGTTCAATGCCAGGCAAAATTCTGCCAGGCAGTGGCAGCAGAGAACTGGAAAAGTGGTCTCAGAGCTCACATCCATTCCTCTTCCATCAAGTGACCACAGAGCTCACTGCCCATAGCACACAACCACAAGCGTAGGCCTCACTGGCTCTGAGGTAATGCCTCATCTTTCCCCGCTCACTTTAGCAGTACTGCCTTGTCTGTCAGCCCACTCAGGGGTTTCTTTCCTTTAACTCTTTCCACTGAATGTCAAAGCTAACTGTCATGTTGAATAGAGCTCAAGTTGAGCTTCTCTAAATCCCCTGGGGCCTCTGGTTACTGCCAACCTTTACCCCACTAAAAGGTTGCCTCATGTTGAAAGGTGCCAACCCCAACATCCTTTTTGTTCCAGGCTAATACTGATTTAATTGCCACTAAACTATCTGAAAGTTCCTCTTGCCTCAAAAAGAAGATACACAGGACCTCACCTACAAATGTGCCCTTGAGTAAAAAAGTTCCTTACACTGGAGGCACACAGCTCCATATTCTTCATTCTGGGTGCGTGAGTTCTCACTGCCCATTCCACCGCCCACAGCTCTGGAGTACAAAAACCTGTGAAGCATAGCTAATGTCGGGACCCATCCAGCCCAGTAAAGGCTTCAATGGAGAGCCTTTCCCACCCCTAACACATGTATTTCCTCAGGGGGGGAAGTCGATGGTGTGTTCTTTGAAGAAGAGGGCTTCTCAGATAGGATTTGCAAAAGATGGCTTTCTTGTTCCGGTCTGGTAGTACTCCTAAGTTTCTCACTGCTCTGTTTTACCTGGGCACTGCTATCCCTCTACTTTTGAGGTCCCCAGAGAATGAAATTAGACCCTTGTCTACCAGGTTTATGTCTAGGTTAAATAAAGAAGCAGCTGCTGTCAACCTTGAGATCTTATCACAGCAGAGTTCACCCTGCAGATGGAATCAGTGTCAGCTTTACACTGTTGCCGAGTCTCCAACTCTGCCGTGATGCAGGGATTCAGTCACTGTTAACTTCCCTTTTGTTCACCCTATTCCCTGTCACCCTATTGTTCCTTTGATGTCTTTTGCCACCCTACCTAGCTGGCTCATTGAACCTTATACTTCCTTGAGAAACAACCAAGGAAGATGCTTGTTCCTTCCAGCACCATACTGGATCCTGGTATCAGAAGTGAGCTGGAGCGGGTGTATTCCACCCCCGTCCTACTGCTGAAGGGAAGAAACTGAGCTCTACAGGAATGCCCTAGTGCAAGGCTGGTTCCTTTTCATACCCCCTCCTCACCTCCCCCAGGCAGCTGGAAACAACCTCTCCCTTTGTGTGAGCTTCTTGTACAGAATAATCCTCCTTATGGACAATGTATTCTCTGTACCCTGTGGACACAGGAGCCGTGTGAGCTGATCCCAGCACCAGGCAGGACGGAGGCTGAATCCTTCCAAACGCCCACCCTGGGTCAACTCCCGATTTCTGTCCAGAGAAACTACTAGGGGTTGTGCATTTTCTTCCATCTGCTCCAAATTTGGGGACATGGCCTATGGAAGTTCAGCAGTGGGCCAGGAGTAGGTCCCTTTCTGGTTCAGTCCTGAGAGTTCACCATGTCAAATTATGGAAGTGCAATATGACCCTGGCCTGACAGCCTTGAATGCACAGGGGCTGAGGCCTGGAAAAGATCTGGCACCCTGCAGCTGGGGCTTCCTCACTGAAACAGAAGGCAGGCTCTCAGCCTTCTGCAGCACGTAGCACCCTTCAGCGTTGTCCACAGGACAACCATTCTCTCTTTTCCCCTTTCCCTTTTTCTTGCTTTTGAACTCTGTGTGTCACCAAGGCAGAACCAGGAACTCCTGTGGTCTTAGGATGTCACCTACTACTACTTGGCATCTTCTCCGAGTGCTGCCTGGATAAGGCACCTGCCGCCTTCCCTGGGCCTTAGTTTTCTCACCCAAGTGATCCCTGTTCTTCCTAGTTCTACAACTGCTGGCAGCAATTCTCAAGCACATTCGTTCCAATCATTTTTTCATTTTATTATATAGTGGTGTTATATAAAATAACCCCAAATTTCTAAGTGAGCCTATCACCCTCAACCCCCTATAAAGGGTTGCTAAAGTCCCCTCTTGGTCACACGCAACTTAACAGTTCACATCCCTCTAGACTACTGCCCTTAATTTCTGCGTATTCTCCAAAGAGATGGTGAATTAACACAGAGATTCATATATTCAGAGAAATCATCTTCCCACTCTCTCCCCTGGGCATGATATATGTATTTGAGCCTCCTTGATGCCATTGTTTCTTTTCTAAGATTAATTTATACATACAAGAACTATGGGCTGGAGCGGGGGAGGGTCAGAGGTGTGTGTGTGTGTGTGTGTGTGTGAGAGAGAGAGAGAGAGAGAGAAGAGTTAACAGAGACAGAGTGGGGAACACAACAGGCAGATGTACTGAAATATACCTCTGAGGGGAGTAGTGCGCAAGACAGGAGAGGTCTGCTAGTGTAATGTGGCATTTCTGGTTAAAAATGTAGGTTCTAATGCCAGAATGCCTGTGTTCAAATCCTAGCCACTTAGCTGTGTAACCGTGAGTTAATTTACCTCTCAGCGGCTGTTCTTGAAGATGATGCTAATAATGGCTGCTTCATAGGGTTACTCGAGGTTTGGGTTAACACAGGGTGCTTACAATAATGACTGACAACAGAAGCTCAGTAAATATTGGCCATCCTCAGGATAGTGTCTAGAAATGTGCTTTCAGTAACTGCTGCTAAAATCAATGATTGACCAGTCCCTCTGGGAGGACATAACCTCTCCCTCTGCAGCTTGTCTGCTCACTGCTCAGGAGCTTGGCCTGTGAGTACATTTCATCCCCACCTAGTGTGAACCAGGCACCAGGACCTTTTTACAGTGGACTGCCTGATAAAAAATGATGTCATTTTAAAATCTAGTTTTATGATTTTCTGTCTCCCACTTAGTTGTCACTATACTCTTGGATTTAAGCCCAGTTTAGTCTCTTAAATTGTGTCCTTTTCCCTTTGAGACTAAGCAACAATCTGGCCCTTCACCTGAGATGTTCTTTTTCATCCCTTTTAAGCTATTTCTCTTCCCTGTCTAAATCAGCTCGAATCAGCCTATAGTCTCCCTCACTCTGTCCCTAAAGGAGCCCTTCTCCCTCAGAGACCTCTCTGCAGATGTGATGTCTGTGCCCACAGGGTCTGGACTCAGGCTGGGGTGGTTGTGGTCACAAAACAGAGCCCCCAGCTTGCCTCTCTTGTTTTTTGAAGGCCCCTAACTTTTGCTCTTGTTTTTCATGGAACACAGCATTGTTCTCACCACCAAGCTAGAAGTTTCCTCAGCTGTAGCCATAAGGAAATCGCTGGGAGTCAGGCCCTGCCTCACACCTCCATGGACTGTCTGTCTTTTCCCTGCTCCAACCCCCTTATTCATCTAGTGAGCCATTCATCCTTCCAGTGCTAGTGTCAGCTATTCCTGGAAAGTCTTCACCACCTCCTCCCTCCCTGTATCCTTGACTATTTGTAAGCAATACCACTCCATCCACTTCATAATAGTACCTGTAACTCCACCGCAGTTTATTTACAATCTCAAATCCTGACCTGGACACTTAAATAGTGTGATGTTAGGCAAGTATTACACTCCCACGACCTGTGTTCACAGTCTCTACCTGTCTGCAATGGGATTATAGCACCAAGCTCACATGGTAACTTCAACTGAGCATTTTAAAATTAGACTTAAGCATCTCTTCATTTTCTACAGGATAAAATCTTGAGTTTCTGGGATGGGTCTACCAGGTGCTCTGGGCATAGAGTCAGCACTCAAAAACTCTTCCACATGCTACACTGTGTGTTTATGTGCATGCTCTACTGATACGGAAGACATCTGTCTTCCCAGCCCCTGCTCTTTCAGCCAAGGTCCCAGCCTTTGGAGGAAGACACTAGTAGGCTGGCTAAGGCCCAGGGACATGCAGAATGATTAACTGACAAGCCCTTCACCCTCATCATTCCTGTCCTCACTGACTCAGCCTTCCCCCAACTCTTCAGTGTAAGGACTGTGTAGAAAGTGCCCTTTGTCCTCTACAGGATGGGGAAGGTAGAAGCTTATTGCCCTTAGGGGGCTGATTCCAATGCTACCTCCCATTCCAGTTTTCCCTCAGGTCTATTGTTTTTTAATAGAGTCTACTCTTCCACCTGTTTGCTCACTAACTCACTCACTCATCCAGGCAAAGCTCTTTCCATTTTCTTCTTCATTGCCATTCTACTTCTTTGATTGTTTTAATTTTTAATTTTTTTCCCCTGAAACATAAAACTTCAGAAGTAGTCATTAGTGTTGATATAATCAGTGGTTCTATGACTGCACCCTTGGAGACAGTAAATCAGTAATGGCTTATCTCTCAGGGAAAGAGGATAAAGGAGGACCTTAGAGAGCAGTGAATGAATGAGGAATGAGTCAGACACTCAAGAGTGGGACCCAGAGGAAGTTGTCACCTCACTTCCTGTTAGTCAGGATGGCTCCATCAAAGAGGGGAAATTTGAACTGCTGGACTACACATTCTGTCCCACCCACACCTAACCATCATCCTTTTCTAAGACTGACTTTCTAGCCCCCATTAGGTTCCCAATTTCCCAGTCTGTCCCCCGTATAGTAGCATTCACTGAATACTCTTTCCTCCAAAGCCGTCCACCTATTTTCTGCAGGTCCCAAACAGTGCATTCCCCCAATCCACTGACAAGCTTACTCTTTTCTATCCATTTCAGTGTGTGAAGTGCACTCCTTAGCCAAAGGCCAGCCCTTCCACATGTGTGCTGAATTGTCTTCCACATAGCATATAATATATTGAAGCCTCTTTCCATTAAAACCCCCTGGTGGCCTAGGGGTTAAGTCCCAGCACTATCACAGCTTCAGCATGAGTTCTGTCCCTGGCCAGGGAGGTGACCCACATGGCACAGCAGACCTCTCTTGTCTCACCTGCTGCTCCCTAAGCAGTGTTTTTCAGTCAACCTGCCCATTCTGCTGCCCACCCTGCCCTGGTAAATTCTTTCACCACCCTTGCACCTCTGGCCTACACCCCAAAAAATAAAATAAAAACAACACCATCAGATAGATAGGGTTGATCAGAATCAATCTAGAGACAGGCACTGGTATTTTGAAAGCTCACCCTAATGATTCTAACATCCCAACTTGGGCTGAAAAAAAAAGAGAAAAAATAAAATCCAGACTCCTTGCTGAGTTTTATAGGACTCTTCCTAAATCGACTCCTGCCCTTTCCTTTGTGTCTTTTAAGTGGGAACTCTCCAAACCACCTAGAGTGCCCCCAAATTGCCACACTTCTTGCCTCTGTCCTCACACACGTGCCTCCGTCTGCCTGGAGTGTCTATGCCTACCTTCTAGAATGTTCTTTAATGCTTACCTTAGGTGTCATTTCTGTGAACTCCACACACTAACTCCACCTGGGTAAGGTGCTCCCCTCAATGTTTTTACAACTCTCTGGGTTTATCTTTGGGGATACTCACCACAATAATTATCTTCTCCGCAAGACTATGGATGTTCCGCAGGAAACCTAGGGCCGTGGAGATATTCAGTAGGATTTGCTATGGTCATTGCCAGTGGTGGGCCAAGTGAAGAAACGGCATTTGATGCCTGGAATGGTTTCACCTGTCTCTAGATAGACAATCCAAACCTCGACCCTCTCACATTGTCTATTCACTGAACAACTGCTCTCAGAATAGCGCTTTGCACAAAGTGAACATTTAAGAAGAGTTTACATTTAAGTGTATATCTTCTTGGTCTATTAGTCACTTTCCACCTTGTCTATTAAATGTTGAGATGGTAAGAGTGCTAAATGCTTATGTGGGTTATCTCCCTCGTCTTCACAACAAACCTGTGAGATAGATACTGTTATTGTGCCCATTTTATAGAAGTTGAGCAGCTCACATAAGGTCACACAAACTGAAATATTGAAATCCAAACTTTTGGAGTTAGGTGTTACCCCAATGCCACTAAAGTATACCTGGAATACATTTGGCTTCCAATAAATATTTATTGGTGCAGTGATTCAGTCTATACCCCAAAGTGGTAAAAAAAAAGTTTTTGAATTCCTCCCTGCTTGACTCTGGGTCCCTCAACTTCTCTTCCCAGTCTCACATTGTCTCATTCGCTCATCAAACATGAAGGGTCCAATGAGCCAGATGTTGGAGATACAGAGACAACTAAAACATGCTCCTGCTGAGAGGGTGCACAGTGAGGGGAAGGGAAAGCAGATAATTACATTGCAGAACCATGCGGGGGCAAGGGGAAGGAACGCTGTACTGTCTGGGAGACAGTCCTCTACCTTATATTGAGCCAGGGAACCAGGCTGGGAGGGGTGGGGCTGAGGGTATGAAAGTGCTGACACCTTGGGGAATGATTAAAGCATAGGATGTGGCCTAGAAGATTGGCACAGGTAGAATGGAAGACTGAGGGCCAGGTTAGGTGGGGCCTTAGTACATGCAATGCTAAGACCTTTGCACCTGTTGAATAGTTGAATTATTTTTTCCATTTCCTTTCAAGTCTAGGTGGTAATGGGCTCTGTTGTAGCTGTACTTTGGCCCTGACCTCTTACCTATCAGACTACCACATAGTTACATCCCACCATTGATGGACTTAGCAGCTCTCCCAGTCACTGCCTCTTCTGAATTCCTCAATTCTGTTCACATTTACACCATCCATCCCACAAGCAGTTACTGGATCATTTTATGCAAGGCACTCTTCCAGGAGCTGCTGGAGGTCAGATTTCATTTCGCTAAAACCTAGTCCTCACCTGCAATCCAGTCAGTTTCCAAGCCTTAAATTAGGCTAATCTCTCTCACCTGATCTCCATCCAACATCCCCATCACCAGGGCTGCGAGGGTGAAGTGATCCTGCTACAGCAAACCCCTTGCAGGGACAGCGTCTACCTTTTTCACTGATGTGTCACCAGCACTTAACACAGTCTTGCACGTGGTAGGTGGACAATAAATACGTGATGATAGAAACCAGATTTGTAGTCACCGCAACATCTTTCAGTATTTCTCCTCCACTTCCCAAATAAAATCAGATTGCCCCCATTTGGTCTCCAAAACGACTAGTCAGCCACAGCCAACTTCACTTCCCTTGTTTCCCCTTTCAAAACCTTGAAGGCAAGTTTAGCCAGTGATTTACTCACTGCTCTTGCCCCAGGCCACTTGTATTCTCCCACCTCTCCCAGGACTCCTTGGGCTCCTCCTAATGTAGGGCTCCTCCAAGTTTACAGGCTGAGTCTTCCCCGTCCAGCTGTTCCCTCAGGCTGGGACCTCCCAGCTGCCCCAAGTCTTCCTGCCCCAGAGCACACCTAGGCGGCCTCCCATTCACCCCCCGGGCCCCCCTATTTAGAGGCAGGCCTTCGAGGTAGGGCTGAGTCCACAACCTTCCCCAGGGTCCTGAGTCGGGCTGCTACAGACTGTGTTGGCTCTGTCTGTGGATGCACCGCCGAGAGCCCATAATGAGGTCTTTCCGGGGCTGCGTGTCGGGCAGAGAGAGGCAGGCAACAACCCCGGCGGCGCCCGGGCCAGGCAGTGCCCGGCCGGAGGCGGGCTGCCGAGCGAGGAAAGGGTGGGGAGCCGGGGCTGGGCGTGCTTCCTGCCCGGCATCTGGCGGCCCGCCCCTGCGCCCGCCCCTCGGGCCCCGAGGAGTGGAGCGGAGCCGGGGCTGCACGGCCCCTCCTGCCTCGGCGGCGGCCCAATCAGCAGGCGCCCCCCAGCCGGCCCGCCCCCTCCCCCTCTGGTGACAGAAAGTCGGCCCAGCAGATGAGGAAGTGGCAGGCAGGCTGGCCCTGGCACTTCTCTCTGGCCCTGCTCCCTCCGATCCCTACACTACTGCCCGCCTGGCCCCCACTGGTGAGTCTGGACCTTCCACGGGCTTTCCACGTGCCGGGCCCCTCGCCTGGCGGCGCGGCCCAGCCCTGCCCTGCCTTGCCCTGCCCTGCCCTGCCCTGGCTATGGGCGAGGCTGTTCCTGGGGAGAGTGGGTGGGAGGTCCCAGCTCTGTGGGGCCGGGCCTCCCCAGCAACCTCCCTCCGGTCCGCGGCCCCCATTTGCTTAGACCTAAGGCAGCCCCCATCACCTCCATGTCCCCCCCTACCCCCTTCCTCCTCCCCACCCCCAACTCTTTTCTCTTCCTCCCGCCTCCTCCCCCTGCCTTTGCCTACTTACTCTTCCATCCATCTTAAAAGGAAGGGACAAGCGGAGTTTCCCTACTGGGACCACACCCGGATTCTCCAAAACTTGGGGAGAGGTCCTTTCAGAATCTCGAAGCCACTACTGACATCCTGGGGTGGGGTGGGGTGGGGGGAGTGTGTAGCGTGTGGTGGTGGGGGTGAAGTAGGGGCAGCAGTGGAGGGAAATGAGAGATAGCGAGCTGGCAAACTCACTTGGGACAGGGAAGAGCTGCAGGTTAGGGCACAGCAACCGACAAAAACCTGACAGTGAATGAATGAGCGATGACTGTCACCTGTGAAAGGACACCTGTAGGCAGGTGTGTCTGCGTACACCGCATGGGCGATTTTATGTTCATTCACCCCAGGTGGATTTTATGTTTATGTGTATGTGACATTTATGTGTGGCTCCTGAACGTGTGAGTAAACCTGCAGGCAGGCCGAGTGTGTGAGCACTCGCACCTGGCAGTGTGGGGCAGTGAAGGTGGGTGTGTGAGTATTTGGGGTGTGTTTGTCAGTGTGACTGTAGTTAGGGGCAGGTCTGAGTATGTCAAAGTTCATGCAGGCTTGTTAGAGTGGTGTGTCAGAGGAGGGCAGCTGTGGCCAGCAGGAATTCTGTGGGCTCTGTGTGTACCTGAATGCTTGCCATTGGGTAAGTTTGTCATGGTGGTGGGAGAGCTTTGAGAGAGTGTGCATTGGGGGGACTTGGGCCCCGACCCCCGAGGCGGGGGTTCAGGGGAGCCCGGACTGGTGTGGGTCCAAAGCACTGGTGTGAGATATTTTAAAGGTTTAAAGGAGGGGGTTAGTATCTGCTAGGCTGTGCCCGTGAGGGTGTATGAGTTGCTGTGCCTCCTCTGACAGATGTGTCAGAAGGTGCGTTCTTCATGGAGCACCTGTGCGGTGTTCTCTTATAGAGGGATCTGGGCAGACCAGGGCGCAGGAAGCTCACGGAGCATCTGCGCTCTGGCTGTCTGGGACTTGCCGGGTTGCTTTGGGACAGTCTGGAGTCCCAGGCTCCCTGGGGCTTTTGTGTCCCCGCGAGCCCTCCCCCAGCATTCCTTCCCCCCGACGGGGAGAGGGCTCCTCTCATTCGGACCCCTCCCTCAGGGAGGGGAAGATTCCTGAGACCTCCCCCACTCCCCGCCTCCTCACATGCCGCTGGCTTCCCTGCCTCTCCCTGGGAGAGAAGGAATTCTACCCATTCTAAGTAGGGCAAACTGAGAATTGATGTTTAGTTTCGGAGAAGACGCCAGATACGGGTTTTCAGCACTTTTCTTGGCCCGGCGAGGGCTGGGACTGTAGTCTGGGAGGTTTCTGGCTTAGGACCTAGAGCCCCAGCTCTTCTGATGTGTCGGGGTGGGTGACTGGTGAGTCTCTGGCTTTACTTGGCTTTCTCAATCCTGGTGGGTCCTGCTCCTCCAGGCACTGACCTGTGGCCTGGACCCACCCTCCACCCCATGCACAGCTCAGCGGGGGCGGGCAGAGGGCGGTGCTGCTGCCAGATCTAGTCAGACAGGTGGAGCCACCAGGCTGGAGTCTCAAAGGGCCTGGCTCGTGCAGAGGAAGGGCTAGAGGAGATCCCGGAGAGGAGAGAGGCTGAGGGGAGAGCCTCCGAGGCCGACCCTAGGGAGTATCCCGGTAGGAAAGAGGAGGAATCCTGAGTGGGTAAGCTTCCCGGCAGGGGCAGGTGGGACTGGGAGGTGAGTCCCCAGGGGACCCGAGGAAGTCCCAGGAGATGAGCATCCGGAAAGGGGACTAGCTGGCCGGAGAAGGGAGGTGGAAGGGGAGGATCCCCGGAGAGATAAAAGACCCAGAACTGGAGCGGTGGGGAGACTGGTGCGGAAGGAAGAGGCAGTTCGTTCTGAGATGAGTCCCCTGCTGGTGAGAGAGAAGACTCTGGGAAGAGAGCAGGGCTTCAGAGATCTCTTGAGGAAGAGGAGCTGGAAGGTGCGGAAGTGTAGATCCCTGGAGAGGGGCAGAGTGGGAGAGGAGCGTAAGGTGTGGAGAGGAAGGGCGGAACAGCCCTTCCCAGGCAGGCAGGATGTTCGGGAAGCAGATGCCCGCTGCCAAACTGCCTCCTCCTGCCCTGCTCCCCAGCAGTTCCTTCCTCTGTTTGAGGCTTGTGAGTTCTCATTTGGCCTGTCTTGGCTGTGGGTCAAGGGTGGGATGGGGTGGGGTGGGGGGTGCTGTCTGACACCCACCCTCCATCTGTCCACAGAGTCCTTCGCCAGGATGGAGGCTGTTGTGAACTTGTACCAGGAGATGATGAAGCACGCAGGTAAGATGCTGTTCATCCACCCTTCTCTCCTCCTTCCCTGGGGTCCCTGGATCTAGAATTGACTCCTAATGGAGTGTCCCTAGGAACTGCATTTCCCTTTGTGACCTCACGTCTGTCTGTACATCTGGTGGGGACCCTTTGGACCCGGTGACCCTTCCTGACTCCTTTGACCCTTATTCACAGATCCCCGGATCCAGGGTTACCCTCTGATGGGGTCTCCCTTGCTAATGACCTCCATCCTCCTGACCTACGTGTACTTCGTTCTCTCACTTGGGCCTCGAATCATGGCCAATCGGAAGCCCTTCCAGCTCCGCGGCTTCATGATTGTCTACAACTTCTCCCTGGTGGCACTCTCCCTCTACATTGTCTATGAGGTGGGCCCCTGGATGCCTAGCTTCAGTTCTTGCCTTAGGCCCAGTGCATGGCATCTCCTTTCTGGGGAGGCTCAGATTCACTTCTTCAAGCTAAAGGAGGGGAGGGCCGGGAGGAGGGGACTCTGGTGTTCTAATCCGCACCCTTCCTAGTTCCTGATGTCTGGCTGGCTGAGTACCTATACCTGGCGCTGCGACCCTGTGGACTATTCCAACAACCCAGAGGCACTGAGGGTGAGTTAGAGGCTTGTGGGGGGGGGGGGTCACAAGCCACCAGGGATCGGAGCAGTTTGGGTGCACTCACGGTCGTTTAGGGAGTCTCTTGGAGTAAGTAGTGGGCATGAGGGTTGCTGAGTCTGTCCTGATTCTTGCAGATGGTTCGAGTGGCCTGGCTCTTCCTCTTCTCCAAGTTCATTGAGCTAATGGACACAGTGAGTAATTATGAGATGTGAGAACTTGGCAGGAGTAAGAGAGAAACCCTGGCTCTGAACTCCCTTTTCCCACTTCTCTCAGGTGATCTTTATTCTCCGGAAAAAAGACGGACAGGTGACCTTTCTACATGTTTTTCACCACTCAGTGCTGCCCTGGAGCTGGTGGTGGGGAATAAAAATTGCCCCAGGTAAGTGGTGAAGGCTACCTGAGTTAGGAGGGTGGCACTGGGGGCCCGAGAGTCAACTCACCTCACCCTGTTCACCATCCTCTCTCAGGAGGAATGGGCTCTTTCCACGCCATGATCAACTCCTCTGTGCATGTCATCATGTACCTGTACTATGGATTGTCTGCCCTTGGCCCTGTGGCTCAGCCCTACCTTTGGTGGAAAAAGCACATGACAGCCATCCAACTGGTGAGGAACTTGGGCCTCATCCCCCCAACATTCCAAGTCCAGAGCCTACCTTTATGCAACCTGCACCTCACCTTTGACCCATCCCTCCCACTCAGCCTTCC